CAGTGATGATCACAAATCAAACGTACCGTGGTCCAAGGGACTTCTCCGATGTTGAAGAACTTATCATAACCTCTGGCGATAATTCGATGGGAAGTGGGATCTCTTTCAACTTGAGTAGTGAATAAACCTCTCGCGAGCGTAGGAAACGGAGACGGAACATCGTAGTACTTGTGCTCGTTCATCTTCCAGCTCCTCACACCGATAGTTGAGTCCGCGGGGGCATCATAAACGGTTGACTTAACCAATTTGGGGTTTTTGTTGGATAATTTCAGGAGATCGTTAATGAGATCAGAGTCCTCGCTCTTTGTGGCTGGATGGGGCATTCCGAGTGACTTGGACATCCTGTTGTGTGTTACAGAGAAACGTCGAGTCCAAATGCGAGCAGTGTGAATAAGGGAAAGGCGAAAGCCTCCCGGGCATAAGCGTGTTATAATCGAAATCTTGACTCGAATTTGCGCGCTGTAGACTACCAATGTAACGAGTCAGAAGCAATTAGTATACAAACGATGAAGACGCAAGTGACTGACCTTCGCTGTCCTCTTCTCACGTTATTGGTGTGCTGGCCAACGTACGCAGAGTGTGCGCCGGGAAACCGAATGGCGCGCATGCATCACGTGCTTCGTGGCAATTCTGACACCGCAAGTGTAATCACTAATCACATAGGTTGAACAACTTCATCTAGCTCTCCCAGTACGCGCCCATGATCACATATCGATATGACTCCCTCTCTTGAAGTGTTCACCGCTCCACTCTGGCAGAACGCTATCACAAATTGATTCAAGTCAATGATTGATTCTTGAATGAAGGAAAATTTGGGCCAAAGAGCTTTTTTTTTCTTGAAGAATTTCACAGATGGAGTATCGGTGGAAAGTATCTCCAAAAGAGCTGCTCTCAAAGGATTCTTTATGTGGCCAGGTATTCATGTACATGCTTCTAACACACCATACCGAAATGATTCGTTTTACTGGTGCCTGAGATTTGGAATCGTCTACTTCTCGTCCTCGAGTTTTTGGAAAGACATCATCCATTTCGTTATTCTAGATTTTTCCAGACTCACGTAAATAGGCACACTCTCAGGTGGTCCATAGACGGAGCTTGTTTTCTTTGTCCTTCAAACCACACCCGTGTGTCAGTCAATGCGGTCTTTGTCACCAGTCCGCAATCATCTCGCAACACGGAATAGAACCGTTCCCAAATGCTGACTTTCGAGGGGTTGGTTCACGCTACGTAACCATGTATTGTGCTGTTTTTTACATTTTGGCGAGGGTTCAGGACGATGAACTTGACAACAAAGTCGCCCATGTAAGCCCGAAACTCAAAAAACCCATGGCAGGCCATACCGGCAGTTATTCAATGACTGCACTGACGCCTGAATTTGTGTTCAGTCACTCGGAATTTGGGTATTTCCATTGTAAAATGTATCGAGAACTTGAATTCAAGACAGATCCGTACCAGCAACAACATTGAACTTGCTCTGATCGACGAAGCTCATCTTTGTCCTCTCCACACCTACAAGGGCCCGTATGGCTACTTTTACAGACTTGATACTGCTTGTTAGATGGTTGCCTTGGTATTGAGCATGGACCCTCTCCGCTTGGAATTCGGATTGAACTTTGGCGAATGTTCATGCTGACACCGAACGCCGATCCCCGCTTCAAAGTTGATAGAATCATCAATGATGAACCAGCAGACCTGGTCCATCCCCAATGGTGCCGTTTACGCGTGTCCCCAACCTTGAATTTCCGCGGAATCATTCATAGACTAAGGTAAGTACTCTATTTCCCGGAAGTGTTTTATTTGAGTTGTGCGATTGGGTTTCGTAAGTTTAGGACATGATATTCTTACCCAATGCACTCCTCCGATACGCCATACAAAGTTCGTTATGTTTACTTCCTTATACGGATTTTCGCGATGTTTCTGTATATACTACAACAGTTCTGAAACATGACACGAGCTTACGGCTTCTATCAAGTCCGCCTTGCTGCCTATTTTTTTTTACATCTTATGTTTCTTGACTCAGAGCTCCACTTTGACATTCACAAAGTGTTGGGCAAGGGGTTTCTCTATCTTTGCCTGGCGCTTGGGGAAACAATTTGCCACAAAACCTTTCATACGGAGAACTATTGCCAACATAGTACCCACTAGTTGTCCAGTCTACATCAGCCTGACTTTTGTTCACACTCAGCATGAATGTCCAGCAAATTTTCGTTATCATTGCTTCTGCTTACCTTGCGGCTGCCACCCCAACTCTGCTCTATGAGCCTGCTAGTACCTGCTCTGGTACTGGACCCATCCAGTGTAACCACTCCGTTGAGCCTGCTTCGAGCACCAGTCCTACTGCAATCCTTTTTTTACTCGGAACTGTTCTTCAGGACTTGGGCTCTGAAGTTGGTCTTGATTGCGGCCTCATAACCGTTATAGGAGCAGGCGGCAGCAGCTGATAGGCTTCTTCACGTTGCGAAAGAATGCTTCCCAAGCTGTCTGCTGTAGAAAAAAACAGCCATGGTGAGCAGCAATTGCTATCCACAGGTTAACATCTACTATACGGCTCACTTTTTGAAAATGCAGACCGTCTATTTCCATTGGACGTACCCCCTTTATTTAGCCTTTGATTGGGATACAAGTTACTTCTAAGCACGTCGAGTCTTGATTAGCGAATCCAAGTACTACTCTACATTTAGATACGGTTATATCCTACGTCACGCTCACTCATGAGCACGGCATAGTTTAGATTGTAAAAATTGAAAAACAATCGCTAGAGCGCGTCGTTGCGCCCCCTAAAGTGTTGCACGTGTTCGTGATTCTGTCGTATGTGAAAAATTCATCAACTTCACCTGCCAGGATGATGCTCGTCACTTTAACCGTCAAGATTGAAGAAGGAGAGGCGCCTTACAACTGGCTGATCCAGTATGTACGAGAAAACATTAGCTGCGAACGGTAATCAATCAATATTTATAGCAATCATGATCATCTACCGTCTTGACTGTCGGGTGAAAGAAGTTGAGTACGTCTAACAGATATCACAAGTCATACTTAACCGGCAGTCAAAACATCTGCGTGTGGTTGTGGAAAGGCAGATATTCGAACAGAACCGCTTTTGAAGTTGACCGTACCCTGAACTTTCTTTGGATTCACCACCAAGTCTATCGCGATGTGTGGATTCCAGTTGGGGTCCATCGAATGCCGTTCGCTTGATTGTACAACGGCCTATACTCATGGATCATTGGACACACTTAGAATACGTACGTGTGTGATGCATCTTCAATCATGATCCCTTTCCTGGAGCATTTCATCTTGCTTGATTGCCACCTCACTTCAGACCTTCAAGGCCGCGAATGGATTTCTGAAAGTGTTTCCAGTAGCAGCACCAGAGACAGCACTATAACGCCTTCAAGTCAGTACATCCGCACAAAATCTTGTTAAGAACAAGGACTCTGGAGACCTTTCATTGGTGGGTAGCTCGGGGTCTAATGACGATCAATCCGGTCTTGTCCTACATTCCGGCGTCCTTTACTAACTGAGATACCAAAAACGGCCAAGAGGGAGAAGCCTGTTATACCGCGACACACGGTGACATACTTGACATGAGGTCTGTTTTAATTTTGTAAATCCTATATATATATCGTTTAAAACACTGTTCAATCAGAATCGCTCAGGAATTTTGTATACCGCGGAGGCGTGCACTTTCGGAAGTTTTCATCTCCATTTCATCTCGAGTTCAAGTCCTATAAGGAGACAAAAATTCATCCCCAGGTCGGTATAGAGGCCGTTAAAGACTAGTGCTGATCGCATGACCAGCTCTCGTGCGTAATCCATGCCATCGGTTGAGTATCAACAACTCGTTGCTAGAAATCTAACATTGCCCACAAATAGAATTGGATTCGAGTAGACCAGTTGATAGAAACGAACTGAAATTCACTTTGTCCGAGTTCAGCTTGCACAGCGCCAGCTACCTGAAGGCAAAATCGTTTCACAAGAGCTCCACAGCTCTGGAAAGATTGTTGGATATCCAACATCTTTGACAACTACGTCCGCAACAGAAAAATAGCGTCATCGAAATATGGCATACCCTTGACCTACGCAGTTGTTCCTTGAGCTGGCAAGTACAAAAGCTCTCAGAACTGGAGTGATTTCCTCACTCGAACAACCAACAATCGTCGTTCAAGTACTACTCTTTCTACACTGACTATGCAGTTCAAACTCGCTTTTGTCTCCGCCGCTCTTGCTACTCTTGCGGTCGCCACACCTGCTCCTCGTAATGAGCCGGCCAGCAGCTGCACAACTGGTCCTATCCAGTGCTGCAATACTGTCGAGTCAGCCAACAGTGCTAGTGCAGCTGCACTCCTCGGGGTTCTTGGCATTGTTGTCCAAGATGTGAACGCTCTTGTCGGTCTTGATTGCTCTCCCATCACTGGCGTCGGTATTTCCGGTAGCAGCTGGTAAGCTTTTGTATGTCATATATCTCAAGATGTGCCGCTCATCGCATTTCATAGCTCGGCTCAAGCCGTCTGCTGTGAAGATAACAGCCACGGTAATGTCTTTTGAACTGATCACCTCGGGCTTTCTGATTTTTTTGTGTCAGGTACACTCATTTCCCTTGGTTGTCTTCCGGTCTCTCTTTGAATCCTTCCACCAAATTCAAATTCTTGTGCGGGGAGAATATGCGAAAGCTTGATGATGGCTATTACTGATTAGTTTTGGATTGTATGAAAATCTCCAGTTGTAAACCCAATATAAGCAGTAGAACTTAAATTCCCAGAATGAACTTTCGTACGATGCGCTTTGACCAGTTTCGGCCCGCGCAATCATTGATTTCCGCCACCATGGATTGTTTGCCAACTTTCACTCTGCTTCCACTGCAATTCATCACTGCTGTTATTCTTTTGAGAACGAATTGTTGAAATTCCCAGGGAGCAGCTATGTGTTCCGGTCACTAGTGACGAACAAACACCGCGCTTACCCAAGAAATAACCCGAGGGTGCACAAGATCATCTAGATATTGGCCCAGATAGGATTTGAACCCAGGACCACTTGAATGTTGATCAAGGGCGATAACCAATTTCACCACTGGACTTTAGTTCTATAAAAGTGTTTACTACATAGTAATGTGTCGCTCCATTACTTAACACAAATATCCGAAGGATGGAGTTGACATAGGTACGCGCCGGATAGCACAATTTTTTGAAAGTTGAAGAGTGACCTCTCTTTAGCTCAGCTTCTATAATATTGCCCACATCCCTCTTCAAATCCCCTTGTTCAGGTTTCCTCTTCCCTTGTTTCTCAAATGATCCATACATAAATCAATTCCGTGCCACCTCCGTGCCACCAGTGTGTATCGATTAAAATCCCTGTTGATTTATTTTATTCATATCTCAATTCTCTAGTTTCTCGAACCCAGCTCAATCATGAAGGCAGACCTGGGTAGGAACTTTGCTCTGATGTGAGTGGCCCTGTGCTCCACCACAATACCCTATATGTCGGTCTGCCCTATCATTACCTCGATTGGTGGGGGGTTAACTCGGAGCATGCTTTCAAGTGACAGATCAGGCTTCTATGAAGGGATCCCGCGGTAATCGACCACCTCGACGTAGTGCTGTTTGAGATGAAAACCTCAGATACCGCGACTCGGATGCTCACACACGCCAGTGACTCCTTGACGTGCAGTGATTGAAATTGTTTGTTGATCAAGGCATTTTTGAATGGAAAGCCCCTTTTCCGACACACAGGCCCTTGGATGACTCTCAATTTGAAAAGAATTCTTTTCTCCGCTCAGAAAATTACATTCAATACGTGATGAAAACTTGAAGTAGTGAGCATGCTGCATTGATGCTGTACCTTGATCATGAGGGTCATTAGCCTTGGCGAGTTGCAAAAAGCGTTATAGCATGAATTGTGGGCTATGAAGTAGATGACATACCCCAAGAGCTACGTATGACCGTCGTCGGTTGAAGAAATTTCGGGGACTTAACAACTCCGCTGCAATAGGCTGCAACACGCTTGCCTAAATCAAGGTGTCGGATCTTCTCGAATCTTCCTTTTGTCAGAAACTTTGTCATTGACCAAGCTCCAACAGTCCCTCCCTTCATTCATAAAATCTCTTCAAACCAATTGTTCACAAAGTCCTTATGAAATATCAATTCAAAAAAACTCTCATACGGTAGGATTTGTAAAAGTTATCCAATCCGAAATCACTGTGCTCTTGACTGGACTTTCTACAGACGATTTCGAATCGTCATAAATGAGATAGCCTTTTCACTGACTTACGCAATGATTGCCTTCAATTTATTCAAAAAAACATAAAGGCTCTTCATATTTACTGCAAATCATTCTATCGAACTACTAGCAATTGTTGTTGCAGCTCTACTTTTACTCTCATATTTGCTATGCAACTTAGACTCGCCTTCGTCCCTGCTGCTCTTGCAACTCTTGCGGTCGCCACTCCCGCTCCTCGCAATGAGCCAGCGAGCAGCTGCACCACTGGGCCTATCCAGTGTTGCAACACTGTTGAACCTGCTTCCAGCAGCGCTGCAGCGAGCACCCTTGGTCTTCTCGGCATTGTGCTCCAAGATTTGAACGTCGATGTTGGCCTCACCTGCACTCCAATCACTGTCATTGGTGCCTCCGAAGGCAGCTGGTAAGCTTTAATATACTATAAGCCGCGCTCATGTATTCAGCTCTTTTTACAGCTCCGCTGAGGCCGTCTGCTGTGAGGATAATAGCCACGGTATGATCGCACTCCTCAAATATTATCCCTTATGCTGTTCTTCTGATGTATTGTGTTGAATAGGTGGATTAATTTCCATTGGCTGTGTTCCTGTGTCTCTGTAAACATTATCATGCTAGAAACACTCTCGAAGATGCGGAGTATGCTTATATGTCTGAATGTTGTATCTGAAACGCACCGTAAGATACGCTTTGACCACTTTTAATTTATTTGAACTTGATCAGTTTTTCTGGTTAATACCTGCGGGATACCATACTATTCGTTAGTGATCGACAAAGATGCAAGAATCAAGACTCTAGTGAGAAATGCATGGACTCAAAAGAGGAGTCGATTTGTCAAGCGTATGGGTCTTACCTGACAATACCTTCTGTGATACTGGATTCACTCAGACAAAATATGTTCAAGTCTGTGGTGTTCCGGAGGTTTTTCTACGGCATCCTGAGTCTTCCAGAGCCACCTTGCCTATTTATGAACACAAATTCACTTTTGAACATTCATTGACACCCCAAGCATCCAGTCTGGTCAAATTCTTTTGCGCTTCGAAGTTGGGAGTTCATTGTGCTGGATGCTCCGCTAAGTTACGACGAGTCATGATGCATGGTGTATTGCACTCTTCTTCTCCACCACCCGAGAAGCTGCCACGATCACTAGGAAGAGCTAGGATGTCCTGCGTTTGATTTTCAGATGAGATGAATTTGAACCTCGAAGGCGTTTCTGGTCCCTGGATCGTTGCACTACCATCTCGCGAGAGTTGTTCTATATGTGCGCTTAGCTGATAAGCCTCCGAGCAAACTGACGAGGACGTGAAAAAATCGGATGTTGTGAAATAATACTCGCTTTGACCATGCTAACCTAAAAACCCTATAACTTGATTTAAAGTTTAAACGAAAGTTTCGGGCACAGAATGCTTTATAAAATGGACCCATGTAAATTGTATGTATATGTGTGAGATCAGATTTACAGATGCAGATGTGAAAAGACTTGAATCGAACGCGCAATTATTGTCGATAAGAGAAAAGAGATTTATACTACATGAATGAGCTTTCGGAATGGAGTATTGTGTCGCGAGAGCGGATGGAAGGTTGAAGGTATCGCTAGTATGTGTGGGTATGGCCTGACAAAAAGATAGAAAAAGGAGTAGACCGAGAGAAAAATACAGATACAGTGTCTGCCTCTAATCAATGACTGCATGTGTAGCGTAAGCCTGTTTTTTCAACTCGGGCCTTTTCAACGAGTTGTTTAGGCAGCAAGTCTCCCTATGTCGTTTCTGACAGTCTACTCTGGCTAAAACTTGTCCACACCTTAGACAAAGTGTCCTTATTGGCGAGTGATGATGAACGAAGTGCCTAGCAAACGCATCTTCCGCCATGCCCTTGTCTCCGGAGCCACAACCAGTCCATCGACAGACGAAATTCCCTTTCTGGGGAATCCTGCCATTCAATTCCTCTTCTTCCTTGGCGTCGGCACGGTGAGAAAGGGCATGCGCAGAGACAGACTTTCTGTTGTCATGCCCGAAATCATGTTGACACTCGAAGCCAGAAGACATTCGCCATTTGCATAATTCCCTGTTGTATTTTCGTACGTCGACAAACTCAGGCTCGGGTGCGCGTCTGGTGCGTTTGGTCGCTCGGTTTTCGGTCGTATAGGGAGTCGAGTTTCGCTGAGATGTAGTCCTACCGTTACGCTCTGGCATCAACGACCCTGGAGAACTATTGTTGTTCGCATCATTTGGAACGCTGGACGCAACTCGATCACCAGATGCAGATATGGACGGCGTACTGGCTGAGGGTGAGGACGACGATTGTACATCGTGATTGGTGGTAGTAGGCCTGGAGCCGGAGGGTTGAGCTTGAAGCTCCCCAGAGGGATCATTGGAAATATGTCCCATTGCACTACTCTGAGCAAATGTAGCATTCGGTTGAAAAACGCTTCCTTCGACGGAAGTGAGTGTTGAGGAACATGAGAGGCGGCGCCTGGGGACAGGCATGTGTCCGAATCCAAGACCAATATCTGATACGATTGGATACCGCAAGGCGATTGGGACAGGATACATAGCCTGCTGAGAAGGATCGTTCATTAAGGACGGGTCATACAGGTGCTGAGGGACGGTCGTTGTGGCGTAAAACATCCCATAATCGTTAGGGAATGGCGAAGTAGAGTTGGCCGAATGCGGAAGAGAGTGATTTGAGGACGGAAATCCGACATTGATGGGGAATGCTGAAGCAGAGTTGGTTGAATGCGGAAGAGAGTGATCTAGGGACTGTAATCCTATGTTATTGTTCGCGGGTGCGAAGGAGGAGTTGATGAAATCAGGGTGTGAGTATTCAGATCCCAATGTCATAGGGGCTATAGGATTGATCGGGGGTCCTTGGAGTGGAATGGTCGGTGAAAGATAGAGCTGTGGATCTGGTTGTGATAATTGAGGATCTATCATGAGTTGATGATCGGGGTGCCGCCTACAAGAGAAAGTTGGTGGTCAGCATGCGAGAATACTGTGAAGTAGATTGGGAGAAGAGATGTACCCGTCGTTGCCCCCGACGTCTCCTTGTTGAGGAAAAGTCAATGGATGGTTGTATCTCTGAGGGTTCCCAGCGACAAATTCGGCGAAATAAGAGGGCTATAAAAATTTATTGAGTAAAATCATAAGCCGCCAGAAGACATCCCACTCACGTCGGGTCCACCAGAATGTCTGTACATGATCGCAGAAACAATTTGAGATTAAGTCAAGGTGGTTAAGCTAAGACGACAATCTGCTACAGTGGTCAGAGTGATAAAGATGGAAGTTGAGGAAAGAGAGATGTTTGCTTGGAGTGGGGTTTATTGATCTTCGCGCGTGGCCGTCTCTCATTGTTCGTCGAGATTGGAACGTCCAAGCCAAATCCTCACGTGGGCGCGTGCAACAGGTAGTTCTTTTGTCTGATTTGCTGACTGCCGTTGACATTATTGCTAAGCTCTGATAACTTGACTAGCCTTGCCAGTGCGCGGTTACTTTGATTCGGATTGAGCATAATATATAGCGGAAGGATTGATGAGCTCTCTAATGATTTGAAAAGAGAGAGAGAGAGAACTGACATGCTAGGCACCTGCGAGTATTTTGAATTTCAGAGAAAGATGCTGTTACGAGGGCATAGAACATCATTCATGACGAACCATGATCAACGTACGGAAAACATTTCAATTCGCACAAAGCTGAGATACGCATTTCGTTCAGTTAGTAGTACATGCTTGTTACTTTGATTCCGTGAATTTTGATTGCAATTTGGTCAATATTTCCTTCACAATACAATTCCTTTCAGGCTCTAGTCCAGCGAGTAGAGTACTGCTTGGTCAAATAATCCTATATATATAAA